CCTTCAGATCTGGCTGTAGTAGGATGGTGAAAGTAATGGTACAGCATTGTAACAGTGAATAAGTACTGAGAAATAATTTTAAACTCATAGTTGCTGTCGAGTCACGCACGCAGTACGTGTTTACTATAATTAGACATAGTCTTTACCTTGCCGTTTATTCGGTGTTATTTGCTAACATAGTGCTTATATGTATATTGTACATTGGAAAGGTATTGTACCATTGTATTATGGTTCAATAAAACTTGAGAATCACGATGTTTTTGTGCTGTTTGCTGATACACGTCATGTCTGCTGTATCCCGGAAGTAGTCTATTTTTTTAATGTCTCTGAATTCTTCCGATTTGACTTCTTGTCCTACCACCTTGTGTACCTGCCGTTAGAATCATATGGTCAGTCGACCCCCCCCCCTCTCAATAAAAACAACAACAACAAACACATAGACTATGCAGGATTACCTTAGTCATATTAACTTCCATGCCTTGGTTCAGGGCTTACGAGGATTAGCTTATAGGCCCTTCTACTGAATATAGCTTAATTAGCAGACTGTCACCGGTAATACAATAAAGTTAATTAACATATTATTACTTACTTTATTAATCTGAAAACCTAAAAGGAAATGTTAACTCTTTCTTTACGGTATTAATAAAGCATTATTCTATTCTATTCTATTCTATTATATTGTTATTATTATACACGTTTTTATAGCTCTCTACACTACATCTTTACAGAAAATGTCAAACAAAAGTATACACAAGAAACAAAATCATTAAAAATCACTATTTGAAAAAAAAGTGTCTCATGAAGACTGGTGTTGTAAACTAGATAGTAAAGTGAGGCGCTACAACTGAGAAAGCACACCAGCCATACATTTTCTGTGTTTTAGAATTTAGCAGTTGACTCTCTAAAGACCTTGGATAATTCAATGAAACATCATTACTAATGAGTTCAGATAAATAATCATGGCAATGACGCTGAGGAATTTTAAATTTTCAGCCAGTGTAGAGTTTTCAAACCTGGCGTGATGTGATCAGAGTTTTGGGAATTGCATTGAAGCTTGAGAAAGAAATGAATGAATTTTACCAATTCTGTACATAAAAAAATATGATGATTTTCAAATGAAGTTAATGTTGTCATCTTCCTGTCACAGTCAAATAAAACACCAAGATTTTTAACAGTGGCAACAAGTGTAATAGATGAAGTGCCAACCATTAGTGAATCAAGGTGACTTGCATCTCTTTGGTAAACGGGACAACTTCAGTTTTGTTATACAAATTATTTTGACTTTTGACATCAATATACTGTTATCATACCTAGTGTGAATTTACAGACTAGCTAGTAAATACAGAAAATTGCCAAAACCAAATTATGTATCTAGATTCAACCACGGTAACCGTAATTCAACGTAGTGCAAAGCTTTTTGACATGATAAAAAAGACATGTACCGGTACTAGTTGTAGCAGTGAGCAAGGGCTATTCCTTTACAACCATACATATTGTGTTTGAATAAACTGCATATAGTGGTATGATGTACACCAATGCCATGAGTGAACAGTTGCAGTTCTAACAACATTGTCACTCTAACATCATACATTCACTGTTTTTTCTTTTAGGTACAAAGAGAGACTTAAGATAAAATACTTGAAATCAAGAAAGCCAACAGATTCATCTAAAACTTTAATTGGTTCTGAGTGGTCGTTTTTAAAATCAGGTTTAGATGATTTTAGGGATGGTTTGCCGCCTCCTGTTGATGATGAGGATGGAGGATTTTTGAAGGTACATTTAACATTTGTGCTTACTTTGTAATATGTTTTCATGTCAAAATAAACTTTTTTGTATGGTTATCTTTGAAGCTTTGAAAACTTTTAAAATTGTCTTGGACTTCTAGTAATTAAAATTATGAAAGAAATGTATAAGAATCAAAAGATTCAGGTTGGGAATCGGGGGGACGGTCGATTCGTCCCAAATCACATTTGTTCCAAGTCGTTTCGTCCCACAAGTCGATTCGTCCCACAAGTTAATTCGTCCCAAAGTCGATTCGTCCCACAAGTTGATTCGTCCCAAAGTCGATTCGTCAGATTTAACTACTAACTCGACAAATAAGCACAAACAAATCCAAACAATGAACTGTCCACGTACACGTCACGTCACTGGCATGCTTAATTGTTCGTTACGCTATTTTGTTTTTGCCGAAGTTATATACAAGTATACCTTATATGCAACGTAGAGTTATTAGTTAATAAATACAAATACACCGTTCACGCAACTAGAAGTTATTAATTGGCGTGTCAGTAACAGTTGGCATAGAAATTAACCCTGCTCAAGATCGTAATGCTGACCAAAAATTAAATAAATTGGACGAATGTGAAATGGAACGAATGTGAATCGGGACAAATCGACTCGTGGGACGAATCGACTTGTGGGACGAATGTGTTTAGACGAATGTGAATTGGGACGAATTGACTGTGAATCATTTAGATCTCTACCTCCTAAACAGTTTTTACAGAAATAATAAATGAAACTAATCCTAAACTTCATCTCTATTATTTGTCAATTTATCCTGTGAATGTTTTTTTGTTGCATCTACAAATAATAATTTCTATCACTAAGTCTTGTTGTTCTTCACACAATTTTCTATCAGAAAAATCTATAAACAAAAAACAAATGTTAATTACTAAATAGTTGAACTAAATAGTCTTAAAAAAAAAAAGGTTTTGCTTCTGGAGCCAAGGGAAAATTTGAAACTGATGCGGTTTTACTATTTTAATTTTTAGCTCCGCTGTCGACTTTGTCGAGCGGAGCTTATCATATGAGTGATTGTCCGTCGTCGTCCGTGTCAATGTTTTACTTTTCGACTTCTTCTTGAAAACTACAAGTCTGAATGCTTTGATACTTGGTGTATATGTACCTTGGGTAGACCTCTCTTAGATTTGTTCATTTCATGATGATATCTTCAATTCTCTAATTTTGGTGAATATTTTTGTAATTTTTGGTAAAAAGTGATATTTTCAACTTCTTGTTAAAAACCGCAAGTCCAATTGCTTTGATATTACATATATATGTACTACATGTGGATCTCTCTCAGATTTGTTCATTTTGTAATGATATCTTTAATTCTCTAATTTTGGTGAATATTTTTGTAATTTTTGGTAAAAAGTGATATTTTCCACTTCTTGTTGAAAACCGCAAGTCTGATTGTTTTGATACTATACATATTGTTCATTTTCTAATGATATCTTCTGTTCTTTAATTGAAATGTGCATTGCTAACAGCGGAGCTATCTCAGCCGGGAGGCTGCTTCTTGTATTAAGATTATTTTATACCTGAACAACAGGATACATGTATGTGTTCAACAGTTAATATTTAATTAATACGTTAATCAACAAAATATCTTCTGCAACTGAAATTCTATTATATGTGAAGCAATTCACACTACTGTAAAATAATTTATTTTCGCTGCAATTAATTTTCGCTAAAATGACATTTTGGCCATTTTGTATGGAGTTTATTTTCATTAATTTTTGATGAGTTTAATGTTAAATATAAGAAAACAAAGATATTTTCACTGATCCACTGATCCACTGATCCATCCCTTCATATGAATTCCAAGTGAAAATAAAGTATTTTACAGTATGCAAAATTAAAATATAACAAATGTGTGAGGCATACATATGTTTCAAACTGGGGTCAACAATGATGAAAGGTAAAAGTTTATTTTTTATTTATTTTGGTTTTGGTTTTGAAAAATCATGACTTTGTTAAGTAGTCAGTTTTCTCATTGTGTGTTTGTAACTCTTTCCTGTCTTGAATCTATGTCCATGCATTTATTGGATTAACACTTTGTCCTTATTAACTCTTCAGGGGAAAAAAGGTCCTGAACCAAACTTGAAGGGGGATGTGACAAATCCAAGCCAGACAGTGAATAGGAAGAGGTTTACGAAGCACCAAGTAGTGTATTCCAAGGCATTACCATTGCATCAAATGAGACAGGATCATATAGAAGAGATGGAATATGGACTAACTCAGCATCCGTTAGCTTTATATCCACATCTAGAAGAGTGTATGCCACCAGATGTAAGTTAGCCTTCACTAAACATCTATGCATTTTATAATCTTACCATAGAGCTATTTCTCACCCTTTCTGTGATCAGTGCCATGATACTTTACCAAATGGTACTGTGATGTGAATCCAATCTGAAAGTATTCTCTTATTGCAATAGAAAAGATTATACAAATGTATGGCAATAGCTGATTTTCCGTACAATTGCGAGATCTCGCGAGATGCATGAAAGACGCGCGTCGAACGTATGCCGCAAAAATCGAACGATTTGATTTTGGACTCGAATTTCTTAATTTCGTAGCTCACATCAGCCGGCCGATCTTCGACAGAGGAATATTGCTTTTGAATACCCTTACTTTATCGAAATTGTTTATCATCAAATGTGTACAGCACATTATTAAGCATGGAAATATCCCCCGAAATACTTTCACGTTTGTCGAATCCCACGTGGTGTTTGATGCCACTACGATGCTATGACCTTTGTTTGTCCTGTTTTTACGTTCGATTTCACGCATAACACGTGATTCTCACAGTGAACGGAAAATGGTCTATTTATGCATTACTTAGACAACATGGTGTCTGAATATTTTTTTTTAGCTCTGCTGTCATTTTTATTAAGCGAAAATGAAAATGGCTGAAAATTGAGTTGTTATTTTATATGTAGACACTTTGGGCAGACGTCAGATTTGTTCTTTTTTTGACAATAAGTTTGATTTTCTAATTTTAGTGAAGAATTTTTATTATTTTTGATAAAAAATGCTGTTTTCAACTTTACAGCAAACAGGTTGCATGTCTTGGTGCCTTTGTACTCCAAAAAACAATAGTAAAGGTGCTTGGACTGAGAGACTTTCTATATCATAACTTGCCTGTAAGTAAAAGAGAGAGAATCTACACAGATTTACTACCCCATTGCTGCAACATTTTGTGATCATCTCATTTCATCTATTCTCAGGTATTTGAAGATGTTGTTGATATACTTGACCCTGAAATGAACCTAGGCAGCGAGGCAGATGATGAATTTGATGAATTTGACGATGCATTTGGGGATGATGGATCTCAACCACAACAGATGAATGGTGACTCAATTAAGGATGGTTCTCATTCACCAGGATCACAGGAGTGAGTTATAATTCCTATGACTTGTAATTGTGGGTGTCAGTACTGTGAAAAATTGTACAGTACGTGTCTGACTCAAATCTCCATTTTTGACTCCCATGTGCGAAGCACATAATGGGAGTCTTTGCAGTTAGTGTGTGTGTGTGTGTGTGTGTGTGTGTGTGGGTGTGGGTGTGTGTGTGTGTGTGTATGTGTGTGTTTGTGTGTATGTGTGTGTATGTGTATGTGTGTATGTGTGTCCGACTGTTCCACTGCTATCTCAAGAACCATACATCGGTTTTTGATGAAACTTGGTGCATAGATGCGCTGGGCCAATGCGCAGATTTGATTAGGTTTTGGTAAAAATCCATGCTCGTTAATTACCTAATTTGCATGATAATTAGCTAATTTTTAGCTGTTCCATGATTGTTCCACTGATATCTAAAGAACCA